TATTACAGTGTTTCAATAAAATGTATAAATTTATTTATTATTGTCATGGATAATTAATATAATTCAAAAGACGTTGTTAGTGTCATATGTGATTCAGTCAGGAAACAATTTCATGATTCATATGCATATGCCCTCAAAGTATATATATAGTTTACATTGAGTTTGTTTTCTAATATTAATAGTGGTAGATGTGGTATATAATCATATCAGGGGTATTTTAAGACATTTTTCTAATATCATACTGGGTAATTTAGATGTACAATTAAAGGATTATTATTTTGGTTTACTTTTAGTATTGTCTCATGGAAGTATTTAGATGCAAATTTGGAGAGTTGATTCGTAGTATCTTTCATAATAATAGTGGGTAATTTAAATGAAAATTTAGGTAGTTCCTTTACATTTTATTTTGAAATAGCAGAAGTGGTTAATATAGATATATATAATATAATTGCAATGGTGGGTAATGTTTTGAGTATAATGTTAGCATTACTAATTGGCGAGTTCTTTCGAAACCTCCACACTAATCCTCATGTAATAAAAATAATAAATACAAAAATTATTGAAAAATTCAAAAACATTGTGCCACCATGTAGACTCTAATTAAAGTTGACAATAATAGCCATTATGTCTATTCTATTTTCTAAAATATTAACCATGCCAAAAAAAATCTAAAACAAAACTATAAATATGTATTTAAACTATGGTCGTATGCCATTATAAAATGCTTCAAAATAACACAAAAAATTATATCTAAATTACCTCATCTCCGCCACTATCCAAATACCCTATGTAAACCCTCTCATACTATATCTAAATTACCTTCCTCTACCATTACAAAATTGTTAAACTCCCCAATCGTTTCCCAAGTTACCCACTTATGCAAATATGGAAAATAATCTAAGGTAACCCATAAATATGCATCTACATTACACCATTATTAGAAATAACCAAAAGTAAGCACACATATGCCATTCTGAAAAACTATTGTAGGGAACCCCCTTGGCTTGTATCTAAATTACTTACCTCCACCATTATTAATTGTAACATAAAGTAACTCCTAAATTTGAACCTAAATTGTCTTATAAAGATATCCCAATGTACTTACATATATATTCTTCTATAAATTACTCACGTTTGTTATAGGTAATATAGCAAAAATTAACTCAAGGTGTACATGCATGATGTGTGTCACCATTTAGACAATATATACATGTACATATTTCCATATCAAATACACAAGGAAGTGTGATAAAATTAGAGAGGGAAACTATGAACGTGGATATTAAATAATGTATATAGAATAATTCATAACTAAAATCTATCCGGATAAAGATAATAAATTATCTAATAAGGAGATCTATATATATTAGAGTATGAAAACATCGGAAAGAGCAAAGATAAGAAATTTCGGATAGTTAAAGGTTCAAATTTATCCATGAATTATTGGATGTGAAGATGAACCTTTGCATCCGTTGAGGAGGTAAGGATTGCCCTTGTATCCGTTGGAGCAATTACAGGTGTAGTAGCCGGCATCGTTGTTGTTGCAGTCGCTATTCTTGCTGACACACGCGTAGTCCTTGCTGAGTTTTTTTGCATCTTCACATTTCTCCTTTGTAATTCCCCAATCCATCACAACAGGGACCGTAGCATTATTTGTGTCATAGAACGCCGTCGAGGTGAGATAAGTGGTGCTGAAATTGAAGGCTTTCTTGTCCATCACAGTAACATAATTCCATGGGTGCTCCCTCCATATCTGACTATTGTTGTTGTTCTCCTGGAGGACCTTGACGAACAAGGCTTCAGTAGACTCCACGTCCTTGGGGAGGTCCAACTGGCAGCACCCAGCATTAGGATTGCATGTGCCGTTCACGGGGTTTTCCACGCATATCGGCAAGCAGCCGACCCTGTAATGCGAATGTTTTATATCAGCTAGTAGCTGTTTAGAGAGCTGCGAGGAACGATGACTAATTTTAGAGAGCTGTGGATAGAATAAAAAAAGAGTTTAGAGAGCTGTGGATAGCATATCAAGAAGACTAATTTTACTTACATAGATGCTGATGATGTAGCCAACAATCCTATTGCAGCCGAGAACGATGACTTTGCTATCATGGCGCGAAAGCACGTAGGGCGTGCTGGTAATGTCCATTCTCTCCCCGTGGGTTGCCCCCTTAATCGCGGATTCGTTGTAGCGTTGCCGAGATATACGAGTCTTGATCCAGGCCTTGTTATCCTGCACGGAGATGCTCATCACCTCCAACTTACCATTAAACAGCTTGGTGCGGCCCGCAGTCGTCGTGCAGTTGAGATGAAAGCGCTTGTCCTCGTTGATTGCGCATCGAAGTTCCAAGGCGAACGGGAACGGGACGTCGATGTCGCCGCAGCTCGCTTTCGTTGGGCAGTCGGGCCTCGGTGACATCGGGACGTCTGTGGTGGCAGCGGCGGCGGCGGCGAGCACCCACACGACCACCGGAAGGCAGAGAAGAAGACGACGTGAGAACTCCATGGGACGGTATATAGGTGATTTACCTGGGATCTGGTTGTTCACGTTACTATTTGTCTAGGTTAACTAGCTAATAACTACCACGCACTGCAGTGAACTATTTATATCGTGAACACCAGTGTGGTGGACAGCTGGCCACAGCTTTAAATTTTGGACATTTTCATCAGAGCTACCAAGGATTGGCGCGCTAAAACGACGTGTGGCCGGCGCTTCCGTGGAAATGCATGGAATGCCGGCAGTGCAACAGCCCCGAGCCGGCCATTTGATGCGTGATCTTTCACAAGATTCGCGCGATTGGCCAACAATGTGCAAACAAGTGAATTTTATTCTCCAGCTGGGACTCACCAATCCATAAGGGCCTGTTTGGAATGTGTTGTGTCTTGTCTTGCCTGGTAAACAGTTGGAGTCCTTACGCCACCTTTATCTTTAACAAAACAACACTTTGACGCACTGATGTCACCCTCACCCACAACTCCAGCACTGCTGACAAATGTCGTCTTATCTGGATTCAAGTAGTTACAAAACGTTCTCTCGTGGACTGAAATGTCAAACGTTTGAAATATTCGTATTTGTCTATTGTTACAAATCTTGTAATAAATATTCAAACTTCAGTTTTCTAAAGGTTTATACCATTTGATCTTTCCAGCTATGCATGTGTTCTTTAAATATTTGCACCATCTGAAACCTAATCTATCCAATCACTCCTAAAATAATGTACTGCATCTAGCTGTAGTACACAAAACCCTTCTGGACCGCACCTGGCTTGCATCTTCTGAGTCCAGATTAAACCGCACCTGGTCTGCAGAATCTACAGCTCGTTGCTGCACCTGTACAGTGTCGTCGATAGCTAGCCATGGCAGAGTTGGCCATCACAAAGCTCCACTGTGACAGGGGCCAGAGCAGAGGATTGATCGAGTAAATATAAAAACATGACAATAGTTGTTATAAATAATAACCATGGCAACAACTAATCGAAGCCTAAAAAAAAAAGAGAACTGCTTCATACTTCGCTTTTTAAAATTGCACGAATCTGAAGGCCTAAAATTTGCTTCTCTCGAAATAGTGCTAAAATTATTTAATTTTGTATTTTTATGCTCATGAAAACATGAGGAAATAATAAATTTTCATTAGATTAAAATTTATCTTAAGGAAGAAACGTGTTTGTTGCATTCATGCTGGTCGCACATTGTGTTTCTATGTCTAAAATGTGATTTTTTTAAAAAAAAATACGTTTAGGAGACGAATATCTATCTCTAGGAATTTTCTAGCTTATTTCTGGAATTTAATTCCTACCTCATTTACCTTAATATTTATGTTTCAAATTTCCAACAATCTTTTCATGAGATCCAAATACTTTATTTGAGTTCATCATGTTCCAAAGTGTGTCTGGGAATTTTTTCCAAATTTTTGGATGTCTCGGAGTATTTTTCGTGGCTTAAATATTAATTCTGGACTTTCTCTATAATTATTTTATTCGTGAAATTAATTAATTCTGAAAATAAATAATATATCTCATTTTTCAACCAACTTTCAAAGCCCATGTGCAATAATCATAATAAATCTCAAATGCCCATGCATTTATTTGCTAATGGGTTTTAATGATTATTTAGGTCTATTAATAAATGTGGAGGGTGCAACATCAATTAGTATCATATTGCTAGTTGATGTAGATGTGGGGAGTTTTTCTTCCTATAAATATGTACCAACCCCTTGGGGAAAGCACACCAAAACTACCGTAAGGGGAGCCCATAGTTTGGAAAATCCCTTGTGTAGTAAATTAGATTTTTCTTCTCCTTCTCTCACCGTCGCTGTCGCCGCCGCGCTGCCCGACGCCGTACACCCACCGTCGACCGCAAGAAGGCCCTAGGTGAGTTCGCCGTCTTCTCCTCTTGTTCCCTGTGCTCTTGGCTCGTCAAACCAAACCGAGGGCTCCGGATTTCTACATTCAAATAACACAGACGCTTGAAAGTTCATCTAGGGTATGTTGCAGACAATGAGATTTCCTTTTCCATAGTGTATTGCTTGCTTGCTTCATTGGTAACCAATTCAATCGACTTGCTGTGATCCCTGGTTTGAATTGGACCATATCTCCTTAACGTTTTAATGAAAGGAAATTGCTTCTTCCTAAAAATTAAATTCTCTAATGTCATCTCCACTTCTCTCATTGGTGGCCGGTCTTCTCCCCTCAATTTGGTACACCATGTGGCCAATCTAGCTACTTCTAGGATTTCTACATCCTCCTCCTCCATAACCTAAGGATCTATTATGTCATCTGGTCTGCCTTCTATGAGCAATGAGGTGAAATGTGAAACAAGGTCATCACCATTGTCAGACTGATAGAAAAAGGCTTTTTTCTAGTTAGCAATTCTACAAGAACTACACCAAAACTAAAAACATCACTCTTATCAGTTAACCGACTTGTTTTGTAGTACATGGGATCTAAGTAACCGATTGTTCCTTGAATGGCTGTAGTCACTCCAGTTTGATCAATTCTGATGTATCATGAAGCACCAAAATCTGATACCTTTGCAGTTAAATTATCATCAAGAAGTATGTTGGTGGTTTTAATATCCCTATGAAATATTAGCATTGAAGCAGCCGAATGTAGATAGGATAGTGCTCTAGCAACTTCAAGTGCAATTCTCAGTCGATTGGCCCATGATAATGATATTGGTCCTTCAACATGAAGATGATGATAAAGGGTTCCATTTGAAATGAACTCATAAATCAGGAGTGGAACTTCTGTCTCAAGGCAACATCCTAAGAGCTTAACAACATTTCTATGGTTTACTTGAGAAAGAACGACGACTTCATTTAAGAATTCATTGATTTCTCTTTGTACTACAATCTTCGATTTCTTGATTGCCACGACATTTAGACCTAGATCCCCTTTAAACACAATACCATGCCCTCCACCACCAATCAGACGCTCTCTATCGAAATTGTTTGTAGCTTTCTCTAGCTCCCTTAAGGTAATAATCATCCTCTCACCGATGTTTGCATTTCGTGATATCAGTTGTTGCAACAATAAACCGTGATTTTACTTGAAAAATTTTTGTTTAATTTTCCTTGTCTTGATCTTACGCATTATGGAGGGACTGATGAGTGCTAGAACCAAGAAACATGTGCCACTGCCTGCTCCAAGCCCGATGCTTAAACCTAAAGTGTAAAATGATGGGTCAAAATTCTTGAAGTTGGATTAGACAAAATATTATTCATTCCATTCCAAGGTATTGGTTGTTTTAGTTTTATCCTAAATAAAAGTCCTCTAACTTTGACCAAATTTATAGAAAATATATACTAAAATTTAAAATGTCTGATACATTGACTACCAAGACATATCTCATTGTTGATTATGAAACTAACTTAATATTATAATGTTGGTGTATTTTTCTACAAACTTGATTAAAATTATAATAAATTTTACTTAGGATAACACTAAAACAACTAATGTGTTGAAGAAAAATGCGTAAATACAATAGGTGCACACAGTGGCTTGTTACCTGCAGATGAACCCACACATCCCCCATCCGTCCAAGGGCTTCCATAGGTCCCATGTTGACACCAGCACTGGAAACTCCCAGGTAAGTTTCGGCAGACACCATAGCATGAGTTGTGTTTTGGGTTCTCACACTCATTTATATCTATAAAATAAATGTACATTGAAGATTATTAAGAAGAAAAATGTACGTTTGAAAATAGATATAAACTGGCAGTGCACTAGTCCATCAACCCATGCTCTTGCACAAGCAAGAACCTTATAAGACATAAATAATATTCGAAGTCTAGGGATAACTTAAGGACCAAAAGGACAATAAAATTTCTTGTCCTTGCCTAAATAATTTTTATTCATTCTCTAATACACTCATATAGATACTGTGTAATCTCTATTTAAATGATAGCCTTCAATTATCAATTATTCTACATGGCTTGTATCCATATTTTTAGTTTTCCCTTGTTTGATTCACTCCTTAGTATGGATGAAAACGGTACGGATATTTATTCGACCGTCCGTTCGACCGAACAAATATGAACACTTATCTGGATAGTTACTCGGATATCCATAATTTTTTTCGGATACGGATAATAAAACGGATATCTTAGGCGGATATCAAATACGAATGTAATATCTTCGATATCCGGCGGATATCGGATATACTCCGGTTAAGTATCGGATATATCCGGATATTATTCAAACGGATATTATCCGGATATTATTCAAACGACCTTGGATGGAGAAATGATCAAAATAAAAATTGTAGATCTCAAAAAGTTATGAAACTTTGTTGTTTATAACTTTTTCATTTGAAATCATTTAGTGCTTCAAAATGCTATTTGAATTTCAATTTCAAAATGGTTAAAGAACGTCTATTTCTCTTTTTAATCTTTGGCTAAAACTTGTAACTAGTTTTTCTCCCTCGTACTAACTTCAAATTTGATAATTTTTTTTTCTAAATTTTTTAAAATCATGTTCTATCAATTTATTGTGTTCTTATAGCTATTATTGTGTTCATCTTTTCATGTGACTGTATTCAATCTATTTGAATTTTGAATTTTAAAAAATAGCAACTTCAAACGTCATTTTCAAACATTAAATGACTTCAGCTGAAAAAGTCACGAACATAAAAGTTGTAAAACTCATCTAGATTTACAACTTTTATTTTGGTCATTTGTTCATCCGAGATTGTGGTAGTAACATTGTTCACAAAATTTACATCTCTCTCGTAGTTTCATAACCTATAAGATAGATATGTGAGATTCGTGAATAATGTTACTATCACTATGTCGGATGAACAAATGACTAAAATAAAAGTTGTAGATCTCAGAAATTTATGAAACTTTATAGTTGAAAACTTTTTTATGTGAAATCATCTCGTTAAGGAAAACTACGATTGAATTTCTCAAATTTAAAATTTGGATTTTTCAAACGACTTCGGAATCTCAGACGGAGAAACAACCAAAATGAAAGTTTTAGATCCCAAAAAGTTATGAAACTTTGTTGATTACAACATTTTTATTTGAATTTGTTTAGGGCCTCAAACAATAATTTTTTGCTTTTTTTGTTTCGAATTGTGATTTTTGGAATTGTGCCAAAATATTACTTCTTGCCCAAACGGCCCAATCCTCTGTAACCCTAGCTAAGCTAGCTGGCCCATATATAAGTTCCCACTTAGATATATATATATATATATATATATATATATATATATATATATATATATATATATATATATATATATATATATATATATATATATATATATATATATATATATATGCTTTTACTCAATATCCGACTAGATATTTGTATCCGACCTTCTCCGAATCCGATTCATACCGTATTCAATACTCATTATTCGTATCCGTAACCGAGTCAATCCGTATTCGTATATGTATCCGAACGCTATCCGTGTCCGAATCCGAATCCAAATCCGAACAGAAATATGAAAACAAATATAATATAAGTGATATCCGTTCATATCCGATCCGTTTTCATCCATACTCCTTAGTGTATCATTGCCTCGTATTGGTTAATCCATAGCTTAATTTATGCTAGCTCTTGTAGCAGTCCATATGTCATGACTATGTGAACATAGATTTTGACTTTCTAGTGCAGTTTCGACCTTGTTAGTTCTGTACATTCTATTCAAAATTCTTTATTTTATTAAAATTATCTGTTCTACTCCCTCCGTTCGAAATTATAAGTCGCTTTGACTTTTTGGTACATCTATTTTGCTATGCATCTAAATATAATAATATGTATAGATACATAACAAAATGGATGAACCAAAAAAGTCAAAACGACTTATAATTTGAAACGAATGGAGTAGTTCCTAACTTATACTCTTAGTTATCACATGGCAGAAACAATCATTTCGGCCTGCACTGAGTGCTCAAGATGTGAATTTACTAAAATTATGCCTGAAGTATTGTATTACTTTTTATAAAAACTAAATCAATACATTTAATCTATGAATATAAATATATTACAGTGTTTCAATAAAATGTATAAATTTATTTATTATTGTCATGGATAATTAATATAATTCAAAGGACGTTGTTAGTGTCATATGTGATTCAGTTAGGAAACAATTTCATGATTCAAATGCATATGCCCTCAAAGTATATATATTTACGAATCATGCATGTACATATACTTAGTTTATAGGTGGCAAGTAGCATATATGTTTACATTGAGTTTGTTTTCTAATATTAATAGTGGTAGATGTGGTACATAATCATATTAGGGGTATTTTAAGACATTTTTCTAATATCATACTGGGTAATTTAGATGTACAATTAAAGGATTATTATTTTGGTTTACTTGTAACACCCTAAAATTTGAATTTTTAGAAATAGAGCAAAAATATTTAAGTTGAAATTTTTGTGCACATGAAAACACAGGAAAATAAAAAAATTTCATTAATTTAAAATTTATCATAAGGTAGAAACATGTTTGATGCATTCATGCCGGTCACACCTCGTGTTTCTATGTGCAAAATGTGTGTTTTTTATACGTTTAGGAGACGAATATCTATCTTTAAGAATTTTTCAGCTTTTTCTGGAATTTAATTCCTACCTCCTTCACCTTAATCTTTATATTCCAAGTTTCCAACAATCTTTTTATGAGCTCCAAATACTTTATTTGGGTTCATTATGTTCCAAAGTGTCTCTGAGAAATTTTCCCAAATTTTCGGAGGTCTCGGAGTATTTTTCGTGGCTTAAATATTAATTCTGGACTTTTCTATAATTATTTTATTCATAAAATTAATTAATTCCGAAAATAATAAATCTCTCATTTTTCCTAACGCTCAAAGCCCATGTACAATAATTCTAGTAAATCTCAAAGGCCCATGCATTTATTTATTAATGGGTTTTAATGTTTATTTAGGCCCATTAGTGCAGACGGATGGTGCAACGTCAATTAATACTATATCGTTAGTTGACGGGGATGTGGAGAGTTTTTCTCCGTATATATATATATACCAACTCCTTGGCCAAAGCACGTTAAAACTATCGTATAGAAAGCTCTTAGTTTAGAAAATCCCTCGGTAGTAAATTATATTTTTCCCTCTTTCCCTCGCCGTCGCTGTCGCCACCGCCGTAGTTGTTCGTTGGTAGGCATCCTCACGTTTTCCTTCCTCTTTGTTAATTACACCATGCCGTTGATTACCTCTGCTGCATGCTGCTTTTCCATGTGTGATGTACGTCTACATGGCAACCATGATCTATACCGCATAATACACAAGCAATCACGCCACCATCTCTGCCTTGCTGCCGGCCATGCATGCATGTTCCTTCCATGCGAGAACCCTGTGCAGCAGCAGCCATGACCATGGAGGTCACGATCTGCACGTGATAATGTAGAAGACGAGGTAATTACGAAGCTGCCATTAGTTCATAATTCTTCCATCATTTATTCGTTTTAATTTTGTTTTGCTTCATTCAAATTTCGTTAGGTTCGTGTCAATGTGATCTACATGTTAGTGCTAACGTTTTTCGTGTTACCGGCTTATGTAGTTATAAATAAAAATTAAATTAGTTAATATGCTTATAACTAGTTTTATAATTTAATTCAATATAGGTTTTTACTTCAGTGTTTTGTATACTAATATTAATAATTGCTAACCTAGATATACTTTTAAATTAAAATTTTGTTTAGTTTAAACACGTTGCCTGCGGGCTAACCTCATTTAGATGCTCTCACATGTTTATTTTCTTTTGAAAAGACAAAGTTTAACCTGATTATAGTAAGGAATGTGATAGTTTTTATAAGTTATGATATGATTAGCTTCAACTCGGGTTTTTAAATTAAATTATGGTTTGTCTAATCTGAACTAATAACTTTTTCATGGCTTTGTCAACTAAAATAAATCAAGCTTATAGTCTTCTCTTTTCTTTTATAATATAAAACTCTGTAGTCATTTCTTTACGACCGTGGTTCCGATTAACGTGCTTTTCGTGTCTATGTGTTCGTAGCGA